ACACATTTTCAAGCCTCTCTGGCAGACATTTCGGATGCAGGCCGCTTGTTTTATTCGCAGGATCTCACCATCATAACCTCCGGAGCGGGTGGATATGATCTTTCTTTCCCGGAACGCCGGCGACAGGCCTCCCGATGAGCCAGCGGCCTGCACCCTCCTGGCGTTGCCCGAAGAGCTGGACCGGACCTTTGACACAGAGCTGACCACGTAACTGCCCCCACTTCGTCCTCCTCCTCCGCTTCCATAACCCTCTCCATCTATGTAGCTTCCCCCTCCCTCTCCTCCTCCAGAGGAGTCCCCTCCCAGGTAGATCCCTGAGGAGGAGCTGTAGCTCCCGGTGTTCACACCTACAGAGGCTGGAGGGACAAAAAGAAAAAGAAAATGAAAAAAACATCTTGGTTTAAAACACCGATAATGCTTCTGAGAAACAAAATTCCTTTAGCCAGGGTTAAAATCTCAAAATGATCTAAATACATGACCTAATACATACCAATGTAAAAAGGCAACAGCTGAACACTTGAGTAGTCACAGTTTGTGATGATCTTTTATTTATTCTTTCATTCATTGTTATTTTGTATAGATTTATGGGGGGGTTCAAATATTTCTTAACTAAGCGTTTCAGAATGATTTTGTGATTTATTTTTACCAAAAAAAGGACAAAAATAAAAATCCAGGTAGAAAATTAATCGCTAAGCAGATGTATAAATAAGAACTGATTTATTAAACTAACCTTATTTTTTATTTGCTTTTGTCGTCTGTGAAAAACATATAGTTTATGACTAACATTTATTCTTAACTTGCTGACTGTATAAGGCGGTCATTAAATTATATTAACTGGAACTACTAAGCAGGTTCTCAAATATTCATACTAATGACCGATCTTAAAGAGCATATGGATTCTCCTATTTCACAAGATGAAAACATTCATCTTTTTACGTTTTTGCATGAAAACTGACCAACAATGAACACGGTTTGAAGTGTAAAGTGAAATGATTCAACATCAATTAAAAGCAGGCAACTCTGCACAAGTTTTATGAAACGTACAAGCCTGCTTATTTGTGACCACATTATGTCTCTGGTACAAGTAAAGTAGGAATAACTAGATTCATCTCAATTAGTACAAACACCAGAATAAATCATGGAGTTAACATTGGCAGCGTCTAACATTAATTGTCATGGAACACTTCACCACTGTTTGGACGGGGGGAAAAAAACCTTCTCTGTGCACAAACCTACAGCCCTCTGTTTCTGCTGGGGGGGGGGGGGTTAAATATACAACATCCTGAAGCTTTGTCTTAAGACAAAGCCACAACTTCCCAAAATTTTTTGCCCAAGAGTGGAAAGTTGCCCTCACATGAGGAGAAGTACGTTCCACTGCTGTTCTGGGTTAAGACATTCTTCTCCAAGCCCAGCCCTCCACCACTGCTGGACATATTCCTGTGACCTGATCCGCTGGTTCCCTCTAGCAACGAAAAAGACACACAGCAAAACAAGGAGAAGCCGTTACTCATCGGGTACTTCCTTAAGAATCATCGGCTATAATTACTGTATTATGGTTTTAGGTTATGCAGATAACAATTATGGTGAGAGACACTCACTTGGTGGGAGAGAAGTCAGCCTGGTTGTGGAGGTTACCGTTTCTGTCACGACTGATTAAAAACAGACAATGATCACGGTGGTTTTTACTTGAGAAGATTCTAATTAATGTGACACTCTTTTCATTCCCAGAAATGTCAGCAGCACTTACTAATCCAGATGTTTCATGCAATAAATATGGCAAGATGTTCTCTAACGCAAGGACACTGAAGAGATCCGTGAGGCCACTTAAACATTGAGAAATCTGTAGTGTCTCATTTATTACCTCACAGCATTATTATTTTCATACCCTAAAAGCTAAAAGAGAAAGAGCTCCATGTCTTTCATTTGATCATTTAAATAATGTTAACTGTAAAAAAATCTAATGAACACCTGATGTTGCTGCCTCTTTATAAACAAACTAATAATAAAACCATAAAATTTAGCTAACAAATCCTTAAAAAAAAATGGTGACAATAGAATAAAGACAGCTGACTTAAATGTATCGCTTTCACATAACCGATCAAAAAAAATTCTTGTTAAAGTTGAGAATACGCCACAAAAGAGCATGTACGAGCATGTAGTAACACGTGTGACATCTCAGTCTATTTATCAAGAAAAACTAACCGTTCCTATTCTTACTGGAGAAAAAGGCCTCCTCCTTTGACCAACTAATTAAGATGTGGTGATCACGAGATATAAAAGGTGGCGCGTCAACTGAAACCACCTCCAGCATGATTCAGAGAAGTTCAAAAGAGTCTTTGGAATAACTGTTCATCACTTATAGTAATCCAGATAAGGTTTTCTCTCCAGCCTAACATCTGTCCCTTGGGGTGGGTGGTATACTCTCTGCACAGCCTAAAATGCATCATCAGACAGTATGGCGAGCCCTGTGCAGATGGGCCCGGGCTCAGCATTTTCATGTGACAGCAGGGTTATGATTTATAGCACAGATGCATTGAATTGCACCTCCTGCAGATTTGCCGAATCAGCACAAAGCCTGTCTTTTAGGGAGGCTCCAGGAGGGCGCTCCAAGACAGACGCTTCCATGTTCCTGGTGCCCGCACAGAAATCATGTCCGAGCGAATTCAATGTAGCCGTCCCATGTTAAAAATGGGCAGTGAATCCGTCCCGGGTTTACCTTTGGTTGCCTTCCTTTGGACTGTTGAATTTTACCGTCTCAAGTTATAGATAATGTGCATGCCGTTCAATTTAATGCTGCCTTTCTGCTCCCTTCTTCTTTCCTTTTAGGGATTTCTGACAGTTTCAGTCAAGGCTAAATCTGATTGCTCTGTTCCTGCTGCTGTTAACCCTGAAAAAGCCTCCGAGAAAATTTCCCAGCCCTCAGAGCCCAACAACAATTTTAAAACATCTCGCTTTTTTATGATCTTTAATTATCATGTCTGTCTCTTCTGCACAGAATATTGTAACTACTGGTTTGGAAAGTGCCATATAAGAAAAGTTGACTAGCATTCATTTGGAAATGAAAGATAAAAGAAGCAGAACAGGCTGATTACACGTTTCTCAGAGATAGCATCAAACGTGTAATCAGGGTTGGATTGACCTCTGACTCCATCAGAGGTTTTGAGGAGGAGATGAGCTCCTCTTTAACAGCAGCGGGAGGAAAACACAGAGGCTGACTTGCCTTCTGAGAGGTGGAAACAGATAAACGGATACCATTAAAGGCATGCTTGTTAGTAAGCCCACCCTAAAAAAGGAAAAGAAAAAGCATCGCCGTGATGAAGGACTCAACTTAAAGTACAAAACCTGTATTCTTATCCACACCATTCAATATGTTTACACGTTTGGTAATGAGGCTTAAATGTTGCTTTTAATGAACACGTGTTTTTGACAACATTTCAGTGTTTATCCTGATGCTTTGCATTCCTAAGCGAAGGAAAATTCCCCAGATATGTTACAGTAGTGGCTTCCTCTCGAGTAAAGGCTAAACTGACATGTGCACAATACTTCGAGGCAGTGGGCTTTTGTGCAGGCAAACTTTTTCTACCTGAAAATATGAAAGCTCAAGAAAAAAGTCTCACCCTTTTCTCCCGAGAACTCCATGTGTCCTGTTAACTCGTCCATCCCATCTTATCTGGTGAGATTATTTTCAGAAAAAGGAAAAAGGAAAAATCACTGTGGTAAAGCGAGTTTTAAGTCAGCTTTTTGTTCCTTAAGTGTGGACAGTGAAAAACAGCGGCTGTTTGATGGGGAACCGGCTAAGAGCGGAGTCTGAATGATTTGGGTTAAGACCAAGCAGATTGTTTACTGCCTTCAATTGAGATTTCATCCAACCCGAGACAGAAAAATGTCCCCACATCAGTCACATGATCATATTCTAAAAGCCACACTGGCTTTGCTCTGGTGGATCTCGGGACAACTGCCTGTGGTGACCTTTCTGGTGTGTTTGGCGGTCACAGGCCCTCAGAACAGCTCCACCCCGACAAGTAACTTTGCTGACACGTTTTCCTTTCATGTGAATCAAGGCTGCCCCAATAAAGCATAAAAGAATCATCTATAGGTTTCAGCAGAGTTCTGTGTTTACTTCTGCGTCTTTGGAAATAACAAAAGGAACAAAGGGAGGCACTGCTGTGAAAAGACCATCCTCCCACCACACCCTGTCCAACACGTCCATTTTATCAGCTCAGGCTGGATTTACAGCCAACCTCATCAAAAGTTTCAAAAAGAACTAAGCAGACACACGTTGCTTTCGCATGTGATGCTCAAAACTTTACTCTTTTTCTCCTAAATCTAGACTTTTACCTTTTTAAGGGCTAAAATCCACATATACCAACAAAAAAAATGAACTTCCTCTCATCCAAACATTCAAACTTCCAGTGAGGTCTACAGCAGTAACTGATCTGAACAGCAATTATCAGAGGGTGATGACAAATAAAGCCTGAAGTCTCCTGTAGTATATTTAGATGGATCTAAATAGCTCGGGGACAGAAGCTGTAAAACTACCCACAGAGATCACCATAACAGAAAAATGATCTCAGAAAATCCCCTGCTGAATTTTTACACACGTTGAGAGGCATTTATAGAAAAAGATTGCAGGGACCAATGAACCACCGTGAAAGCCCATCACCAAACCCCTGGATGCAGATGTTAGCGCACAGATGCGGCAGCCAGGTGCGAGGAAACGTCATCCACGTGAGCAACTTTCAAACAAAGCCAACAAACGAAAAAATAAAAGGTCTTCAGGCTACTCCAAAGCTGTACACCTAAAGTCCATACCTTTAGCCAGTTAGGGCAAACACAGATGAAACTTCTCACAGGAGATGGATCGACTGATCCAAAACAGAACCAAAGCGGTTTAGATGGATCTGACGCACAGAGCGTGCTGGGATGTTCTCACACTCCTCGGTCCTTTTGTGCCTTTTCACTTAACTTTCCCTGGCGAGTCAAAACACAGATTTGGGCACAGGTCCCAGCCGCGCCCATCAGAACAGGAGTTTTTGCAGGCAGGTGTGGCAGACCGAACGAAAAGTTGAATAGAAAAAAAGAAATCAGCGCCCGAGGGAACCAATTGAGCTGTCGTTCTCAGCCCTGCAGACACAGATAGACGAAAAGGAAACGAACTCCTCCTCTCTCTCGCTGCTGTCTGCTGCCTCAGTTAACCACTTTGTGAAACGGCCAAAAGTTTTTGGGAGGAGGTGGAAAAGGAGTGATCTGGGAGGTGGGATCTCCCCTCAAACTTTCTCTCTTTCGAATAGGACCACAACAATGTCACGTTGCGTTGATATACTGTGTGCTATAAATCCAACCCGATGCAGCTGCCACGCATCTGGTGCACACATTGGGGCCAGAAACACAACTTTTTGATCTAAAAGGTATGGCTTCAGTCAGCGTGTCATTACGCAACCGGTCAGCTCTGAGCAGCACACACTTCTCACAATCTATGTGAAAGTTACTTTGACGAAGTTGTTTTTGCACATTTTTGCAGGATCAGTGTCAGTGTTTTTCTCCCCTCCTCAGGACTTCTGATTATTCTTATGCCACACTCCTCAAAGGAGTCCAGTACATGCTGTTGTGCAGCCAAAAGAGTGCACATATGAGCTGTTTTTAGCTCCATGCTCATATTAAAAGCTCCCTATCTGTTGCTTTAAATTTGTGCAATTTCAGGCCAAATTAGACGCTTTATTCCTTCCACTGGCAGCCGCAAACTTCCACAGGTTCCCTCACACACCACACCCAGTGTAGACATCCACCCACCCTGCATGACTCACAGCCAGTATGACTCTAATCTGCTAAAAATGATGGAAAACAAATGGCCCAAAGGATAGAGGAACGGAGGAGGAGCTGCCCCGCTCACGTCCATGTGCGAGCTTGAATAATGCCAGATCTTAACAGAAAGCAACAGATTCCAGGATGGTGAGGAGAAAAGAAAAAAAAAAAAGGAAAACAGGAGCTGACTGGCTTGCGCTGCCCAATAAAACACATTCATTCTTGTGTGCAGGACAAGACCTTCTCCAGATAAGGCGTCATTATTTGTGCGGAACAAAGGGCAGCAGCTTCCACAGAGTTTACACTCAGCTCAGCAGAGGAGAGCTGCACATTAAGCTCTCAACATAAGGTAGCACATGCAAGTGATTTACTGTCCCAACAGAGTATTATAAACAAACCTCCTTCCATGAATGTGACACCACACGCACGCCTTATTTCTGGGCTATGATTGAGGAACCGGCTGAGATAGGCTGAAATCATTGGTCAGTTTAAACACTATTTCTCAATGCAAGGCTCTAAAATCATTTAGATATTCCCACATCAACAGGGCACAGCAATGGGAAAATATTTGTCGGGAATTGCCCGCGAGTGCAGACCAGGGATAATACCACAGTTTGGATGTGTGTGACCTTTAACCCCTTGACCAGCACGGCATGAGAAATAACCATGGCACCGTGATGGATACAGCCACAGGTTTTATAAATACAAAGAGAGGTCAGGCCGTCAACCCTAAAAGTATTTTTCCCCTCATACTCGTTTCTGCTAAATGACCTTTCGAACAAACTGCAAACGTGGGCATTTCTTGCATTTGATCAAACTTCATGGTTCACGGAAGGTGAGGTTTCTATATTAAAAGAGTTAAGACTTTGCTTGATCTGTTCAAGGATATCATAATTTGTTTTATGTTACACTGGGAAACATGTCTGGTAGTATAAATACATGACGGGAGAGCACCTCAGTTGGCCCTTGGCTGTGAGAAAGTGCAGGCGAGCCCTGAAGGGGGTGGGGGTGGTAACATTTAAATTTAAACCTCATTGTCAGTTGATCTTGCTCACATCTAATAACTCCAATAGCTGATAACCTGTTGGCTATCATCAAGCAGAAAATAACATATCTTCAATTTCAATCTGGCACTGGCATAAATTTGGAGGATTTGTTGTTTCATGTTTGTGCTCATGAAAAAAAACTAATCTGTTGTAGCTGATAACAAAGAAAATGAAGGAAACTCGGGCAGAAAAATTAAACATTTTAATAAGACAGTTTTTTTCATCTTCAAAATGAAAATTGGAATGATTTATGCGATTCATGTGAACAGCATCATTATTTAACTCACTGGCCAAAACAGAAGACTCCTCTGGGAGATTTACCAGATGTAAAGACAACGATCATCCAGTTGGTGCAACAATCATTCGGCAAGATGTCAAGCGGTTATTTTAGAAACACTTTATTTTTAATCCCCAATTTCAAAGCTCCCTTCCAAAGCCAACAATTTGCCTTCTCACAGCGGAACAGGACGAGTATAAATCGCACAGCTGAAAGGGTTAGTTCCTTATTTAGTAACACCTGTACTTTTCCATCAGTGACATGTCAACAATCCTACCGTGAAAAAAAAAAACATTTACAACAGACGCCGCTAACCTAAAGAGCCTCAGGAGCACAAGGTGTTGTTTTTAGCCGCATGTTTGCATTAGTAAGGAATGCACTCCTCTTAGAAATATCATCATCTGAAGTGGGAGCACAGGGTTATTATTAGTAACATTATGACATGTCTCGTAGACAGTCCTTGATTTGAACTCAGGTCTACAGACGTCGCTTCTGTAAACTTTAAGGATGACGTGGTTAACGGATGAGTTGCACTGGAAGATCTCCAGAATATATCTAAAAGAAATCAAGAAAACCTACAAATAGCCCCCCCAAACACCTTCTTTTCAGCCAATCCAAGATGTTTCTTTGTTGTTAAGAAACTGTCCGGACAAGAGGCAAAGAGTGTCAGTGTCAGCACTGAGAGCCAAAAGAGCATTTTGGAGAGAACAAGTCATTTGTAGAAACATGCCATTAGAAGTATCATTATGAGTGCTACAATCAGTATTTAATGAAGGCTCTGGAACCATCACTACCTCACATAGCCTCTAGATTCTATAAACCCAAATCAGCTACTTCATAAATATTTTTCAGGAAAGGTGTTAGCTGTGAATTTCTGTAGTTAAAAAAAACTAGGGACGAGGGGGGGAGCACAAGCCAAACGCCCTCTTGACTCACACATAGTAATTACCTTCAACATTGAGCTTTAAAAGTTTCATCCATATAAAATGTTAAAAGATCCCCAGCTCCCTGGGGTGTGTAGCACCACATTGCCAAGTACTGACATTCAGGCCCAGGCAGGCAAATTCAGAACCACATTTGACATTGTTGCACCTTTCTACTTGCGGTTAGACACACACACACACACTCACACAAAGTGAGATATCTCACGCTAGTGTGAAAAAGTCTTAAACTGGGGGGTATTAATACATTTCTTGAAGGAGATGAATCAGCAGATGAGAAGAGGTGAATCACAGCATGACTCAACCCTGGTAACAAGGCCAAGAAGTAACAGTAGACAAACCTATAAAAACATCACTTTTACTTTTCTTACTTCATGAGTCACTTTAATGGTAAAAAAAAAAAAGTCTCCATGCAACCCAACGATCCTTTCCAAGAGACATTGCTCACCAGTATTCTTGGAATTCTTGAATATTGAAATCAGATGACATCTAGCTTTTTTCTAAATCTGGAAGTATATGCATATATTTCAGTAGAAAATTAAATGTTTGGGGTGAACAATCTTCTATATATCAGGCTATGAATGAGATTTGGAGAAGTCTCTCCAAGCCTTCTGTGCAATGACAAATAGTTTAAACCTTCAGAGATTTCCTCTCCGTGAAAGTTCACAACAGACAAATACATTTTTAATGACGTTGTATTGACTAAATATTTTAGATACAGTTATGTACGATAAATACCTTTTCAGAAAAAACAAACGTCAAATTGTCTTTTAAAAAAAGAAAAAGACGTCTGCCTGTCTTTCTTTCACACACAAATACTTTTTTATGCATGAAACCTTACAAAGACAAGAAATTTTTATAGTATAAGAATATATACATATAATTTATTATAGTATAAGAAGTCACGCGACAAAATTGAACTTGAAAACGTCTGCAACTGCGGTGGAATAAAATTAGGTAGCAACTACACCTCCCATAATGCTGTTCGATGAAAGATTCTAACCAATCACAGGCGTTGGAGGCGGAGGACCGCAAAAATACGGAAAAACAAACCTTTCTAACTTTGCCTTCATTTTCAGTCCAAACGGATTCTGAATGGCTACTTTTAGTTTAGAATTTTGTTTTTAAGAACCGTATTTCTGTCTTGTGTTTGTTAAAGACGTCTTGACTCGGTTATTCAACATTGGGGCCATATTCTCTCTCAAATAGGTGTATCAACCACATGAGTCAGAGTCCCGTAGGTTTGACCCATGGAGATAACTCCCAAATTAGCCAAAATAAACCATGAGGATTCTTCACCTTGTAATTCACTTGAATCGAGCCCCTCTGAGTTTAAAGTGGAAAAGGTAAGTCCTGTTTGCCAGAATCAGATGTGCTTTTCATATTTACCAGCATTTATTCGCAGGATCCCAAATGAGAGCTTTGAATAGCTGATTTTGCACTCTTAATTTTTAGCCGTGTTCTGTAGCATTAGCCTCCTGTGATGGATTTTCAACTGTTGTTCCACAGCATACTCCAAAGCTGAGTTCATCACTGAGGGAGAGACTGAAGAGAACACGGCGCTCCTTCGTCTCGCCCCTGTCTGTGGCCAAACGCCTGTGTGTGGATGATGTGGAGGAGGATGGCCGACATGTACCAGCAGACTCCCTTGACACTGCCAGGGATCATCCAGGCTCCGCACACAGGGTTGATGCCAACAGAAACGATGTGAGATTAGGCAGCGAAATGTCTTCTGGGCTTGATCCTGAAGACTTTGCGCAACAACTGAGGAAGGAGGTGAAAGAAAAAACTGAAACCCTGCGCAGACTCAAGATGGTTGAAATGTACAGAAACAAGGTATTGGGCACATCTGAGCCGACTAGTACAATTCACATGTCATTATTTGGGTTGAGTATGGTCACTTCTTACTAAACCTCCCCTATTTTTCTCCCTAGAATGATCTAACTCAGCTTCAAACCTTGATCGACAAGTGGCGGAGTTGTGCTCAGGCTGCGCTGTTTGAGCTTCAGTCACGAATCCCCGTTGATGGACAAAAGGGCAGCCTGTCCGAGCTGATTGACCTCTTTGGCCTGGACGATGGCATTTTGCACTTTGACCGCACAGAAGAGGATTTCACTATTTAACAACTTTTGAAATACACAACAGTTCACATTTATAATATTGTTTTATTGGTTGTTGACACACAATTGTTCATGAAAGAAGTATATGTCATGTTCTGTTGCCAGTAGTGTTGGTATAAGCCAGATGTATAAATAAAGTATTATTTTTTTTGACTAAGGGCTCCTCTCAGTCGTGTTTCATCTGATCCAGTGAGGGAAAGTTCCTCATTGTCAGATGCTCAATTTCTGCCCAGAGGACATCTAAGTTGTCCGACTGTTCTCTGGCAAGGTCCTCCAAAGTCTTCTTCTGAACAATCTCCTGGAAGCGCTCTTCTCTTTTAGCCGCCTCATTTTCGTCAGTAGCTGAACACGAAAAGAGCAGCATTATCAGCCAGAGGAGAGGGAAATTTCTGACTGCTGAATGACTGAATGAAATGACTGCTTTTACTACCTGCTGCTGCAAAGATGTGTCTCAGCTCTGCCACAGTCATCTGCATATCAGGGAGCTGCCGCTCTAAAATGGCGTTCTTCTCAGCCTTTTTTGCCGCCTGTTTCTTAATCCGTTCGATCTTTTTCTGGCGCTGCTGCACGCCCCTTTGGTGTGCCTAAAATGAAGCACATGAGCTGAGTAATCAGAGCACACGTTACAGAACCAACTGATAGGGTTGTGTTTTCCCGCCACCTTTTTCATCAGAGCTATACTCTTCTCCAGAAGGGCAACCTTCTCTGACATACAACTGCTCGCATCCGTCTTGCTGCGATACTGGAAAGGAAAGAGAGCAGTTTAAGAGAGGACGGAGGGGAAGAGAAAGAGCAGTAAAAGTATTTCCTAACAATGTTTTTTTTTTTTTCAGAAGTCTTTTGATGAACGATCCCACAACAGATGTGGGAAAACCCTTAATAAGAAAAGGCTCTGGATTACTCAGGGTGGGTTTATTTATGTTCAAAGCTCTTCTCGCTCAAGGTTTTAGGGGGCTCAAACAATGTCAGGAAGCCACACCACAGCAGGGTTACCTGAACCATTTGCCAGATAAAACTGGCACAGTGGCCTCCAGAGAAAACTGACATACCAGCCTTCAGCACATACACGGCATATCTGTAGCGTTTCCATCTCACTTCATCTTATTGATATATTTCCGTTGGACTATAGCAAAAAAGATCAATATTTCCCTGTCAACTGGTGTGGCCTGTTAGATTAAACTACTTACCTTAGCTTTACTGTTAAACAGATAATAAGATCTTTGTTTTCTTTTTAAATTAGAGTGCTTAAACATGATAAAAGACAATTAAAATGGAATCAATTTTGCCAACTAAAAGTTGTTTGGACCATAAAAGGTTTTAACGTTCATAATAAGGTGTGACTTTCCAACAAAGGATGATCAGTCTGCTCTGGGGAATGGAAACAATTTTCTGTTGGCAAAACACTGGTGCTGCCAAACCCAAAACTCACGCCCTAATATCACACACTGAAGTTTGGCAAATGCACTAACAGGATTAACCTCTCAGGTATTTAACTCCAGATGCATGTTTCTCCTTTCTATATATTTACTGACTGCAATTATATTGTCAAAAATGCATACTGTGAACCCAGCCAGTAATGATCAGAGAACCAGCTTTAAAAGACCAGTCGTAGAAACCACATTACTGTCATATGCTGTTGATCCTCTGAGAGTCGTAGCATCTTGATGCCCCTCATCTTTTCGTGGAGGTCCTCTATCTTCATTATTATCACTCTGTGCTCCCACTCCAGCTGGATAATGCTCTTACGGATTTCTTTGTATCCCTCCATTGAGGCCACCATATCTCCTGCAAGATTCTGAGAAAATACGTTTTATAAATAGACAATGTGATCATTTTTTAAAATATGGTCAATATAAAGTAACTGATCTTGTATTGCTGTATTTAGGTCTTGATTTAAAGAGAGTAAGGAGTAACCATGGGTCTGCCCTCAAAGACTGACCCTGATGATGCCTCTGAGGCTGTCCACCACACTCCTGTGGTAGAGGATGAAGTCAGTTTCTGCCGTGTCAGCTACCAGGTCCACAGTGGGCACCTCCACCTGTCCCTGTTTGAGTATGACCTGGACCATGGTGTTTGTCAGGTGATGGTTCCTCTTCTTATGCAGACTACCGTGGAAGAGACAACAACAAAACATTCTTACCATTCTTCCTCAGAGAAGAATGTTGCCTCACTTTTGCATCACAATTAGATTTTCGATTCTGGCTCAGATTCACAGTGGATGTCTTTGTGGGGCTCTCAGATCAGTTTGAAAAATATTGAGCCTCAGACCTTTTGCCTGTCTATCAATTAAAGTTTAAATCATGCTGCATTTGCTAGATTTTGGAAATGGGAAGCTTATCGTTTTTATATTGCTACAAGCTTTATTTCTTGTGAAAGTTTTGTTCCAGGTTGAGAAATTTGTCTGAGGGTCTTATGTTCTCACAAGAAAATCAGATCTTTATGAACTGGTGAACTAACAACATCAGAGCCGTACCTTTGAAGATCTTCAGAGAGGTTTTTGATTTCTTGCTGGACAGCATTTTCTTCGTCTCTCCTTCTCTGCAGGAATGCTTGCATCTCAGCAAGAATCAAAGCTTTTATTTTTACCTGCAAATTGAAATGAAAATTAAAAAGATAGAAATCCATCCATCTATCTGGTACACCAGCTCTTTATAGTAGGGGTGCAGGCGGTGTGGGAGACTAACCCAGCCCCTGACCCATGGAGATTTAAAGTTGGAATGAAAAGAACAACATACAAATAAATCCATTACAAAACAGGATGTAATCTTTTTTGTTCTTCACCTTATATTCGCTCTGTACTTTATTTCTGCGCACAATGCAAAATCTCTCCCAGACGGATGGGTTCAACATCTCTGGCATGTTCTCTGGAGCGTCCAGCTCCTCCATGGCTTTGAGCATTTGGCTGAGTGCAGCAGGGGCTGTGGAGCTGCCCACACGGTGCTCTTTTGACAAGCTGGACGTGTTGCTGGTCAGGGTCCTAATCTTTTCACCCCTGAGTCATAAAAGATATTCCCAGGAAAATGCTGCATGATGATGTGAGACTGCTTTTACATGGTGGAGAATTACTAACCTGGGTCTCCGTTTGAACAACTTGTAGAGGTTATCAATCATGTGGTTTGGTATATCAAAAAACTCCTTCCTGAAGTCTTTGTCAAGAACCTTAGGAGACACGGTTCATGTAAAATCATCCACAAGTCATCACAGTCGTTAGTCTTTGCACTTTTGTACGAGCTGGCCTACTTTGTCCTCAGCAACAGCGTTGTCATACTCCTCATGAAAGAACTCCACCTGGCCTTTGTGTCTCTTCATCTCCGCCCCAGTTTCATCCTGTCAGGAAAATGAATGTCATTAAGATGAGAGCAGTGCTGGAAATAGTATCTGCCTATCTGAGAGGCTAAAAGGTATTTGCTCTGCACATTTTCACTCTTTGAGGACATGCCCGAACAACAAGGAGATGTGCTAGAATTAAAACAGACACCGCTGTCATTTCTGACAAATTCAGATACCGCCAGTTATTAAATTCCGACGGCATTACTGTGCACTAGTTTTCACACCTTGCACACCAACATCTTTTCAAGTTTAAGCCTGAGCTCCAGCTCCTGATTTCTCATCTCCTCTTCTGTGAACACAGAATCAACCAGATAAGCAATCTTGAGCTCTTCCTGCAAAAGAAGCAAAACAGTATTCTCGATGAGAGAAGGCCCTCAGCCGATAGGTGCTCGGCTATGTGTGTGTGTATGTGGTTGTACGTCATCACCTGGTATATAGCCACTGTACATTTAACTTTTTTCTCCAGCAGCAATGTCACTCTCTCATCAAATCTTTCGGTTGCATCTTTGGTGGATTCCAGCAGTTTCTTCATTTCCGATTCCAGTGACTGCAGTTAAAGAGATTAAATATACCCATCAGTAAAATAAGATAAGTAATAACAACAATTGACAACTAAGCTATGCTCTGTAATACCCTTTTGTATAGCTCCTTCTCCTCACTGAGATCTTTGGTTTTCTTTTCATATTCTTTGAAGACTTTTTTCTCCTCTTCACTCCAGTGAATGTTAGGTTTGCTCAAAACAAACTCAGGCAGAGGGATTTCCTGTGGAGTACATTCAATAGAGGCTCAGTGCTCGTCACACTGACTTGTCTCATTTAGGTGACACAGCCAAGAAAAGAATTCAAATAAAAAAAAGGGAAGGGGAGGTGTGACATATTTAGCTTAAACTGGAGGAAAAAATACAGAGTAGTAAAAAAGGGGTTGATTAGGACAATTTGTTGTGCATTGAGTGGAACTATTTAAAATCTTTATACCAAAGCGCACAATGTGATCAATTACATAATATTTTCACAGAAATTAAACAGTCAAGATCTATCTTAGTTTATTTATTAATCTTAAGATTACATTTTTCATAAATAGGTATTATTGTAGGGGGGGAAAAATTAAATATAGGTGGTAAAGAGAAGCAATATTCTATTTAATATAATAATATACTAACCAACAGATTGTTTGATAAATAATTCAGATATATACCATAAATACAGCTCTTTTAAACACAAATGTTACATTTGCAGACCTTTTCAAGATTTTTGGAGTTGCTGTGTGTGAGATTTACTTACAATTTATTTTTTAATCAAGAGATTTTTGTTTGAGATGTTTTTTACAATAATCACTTTAAAATAGAGGAACCCATGACCATTTTTTTTTTACCATTTTCAAGATCTCCACTTTTTTCACTTCAAGCTCTCCGTCCATCATGTCATCCAAACCCCTTTCTCTGCTGTTATCACCCTGCAACAGAAAGGCAAAAAATTACCTAATTTTATTCAAGGATATAAAACATTTAATTTAATTCATTCTTAATCAGAAACTGCTAAATACTCTCTCTGTATGTTGTCAACGACAGTCATGGTGACAGTGCTGCTTGTGTCTGAATCTATTTGAGGAATTTACTAAAAGTAAAAAAGACAGGAAAGGAAGAAAACAAAATCCAAATCAAAGGTGTGTACTTGAGAAGCAAGGCGACTCAGGTCCTCCAATTTCCTCCTTTCCTCCTCCTTTTGCTGCTCCGGGGTGAGGTACCTCTCTGCTGTGATCTACAGAAGAACAAAGGCGATATCTCGTCATGATAATCACATACTGTCTCAAATTTCAGTGCAGAAATAAACAACCGGGTAAACTGCAAAGGAATTCAACATGCACACATGCTTTGTTTATTGAACTTTAGGTGACCTGTGACCACTGGTTGGATATTACTGGGGACAGTGACCTCTGAGTTGTCCACAGTGAGGAGCCTCTCTGGCCACTCCTCGTCGGTCAGGCTGGGTTCCCACAGCTCCTGATTCAGGTCCAGCTCCGTCATGATCTTCCTGATGTGCATGTTCCTGTCCCTGATGCGTTTGAGCTCCTGCACCTTCAACCTGTGCAGGGCTTCAAATTCTCTGTTGAAAGCCGTCTTGATGGAAAAAATCACATCCTGTATTTGGACATAAATTAAAGATATCATAACAATGAATGGGACTTTTCATCTACATGGTTGTTTTTTATTTTCAGATGTTGTAAGTGTGTTTTTTGGACATTTTGTTTGGAGAAGCACAGCGAACTGCCTGGTGCATGATGATAACAGATCTCACCTGTAGCAGAATTATCTGGTTGATCCTCTGTTCTGTAGTTTGAAGAATGAACTGATCATATACATAAGGATTTGAATATCCTAACTGAGCTGAGAAGCTTCCTGACAGAGCAGTATTCTCTGCCTCATGGCCCTCCATGTCCTGCTCTTCGTCTTGTAAGCTGGAGCTTTTCTTTTGGCTGCTCAGCTGCAGGTTAAAAATGAAAGAATTCAAGAGTATTGACTAAAAAACGAGCACTGAATTTGTGGCTAGAAGATTACAGACTTTATACGAAGGATTCTCGACTGATGGAAAATATTGCTGCAACTTACTTTTAGCCACACAGCTATAAATCTTGAAAAGTTTCAACACTGCTGGAATGGCACGTGTTCAAGCATTTCAAAAAGTTACAGCAGAAAAAAGGTCAACTGAGGGACCGAGATTCAAAGCATCCAATTATTTTCCTGCAGTAAACTTGTTTTGACTTGAATGGTTGGTCATAAAATCTACTTCCAGATAGCGAAAAAAGTGGTCGTTTTGCCACAGCTTTGAAAAAAAAAAAAACATTGCACTGCGGCATCTCTGTTTCTCATTCAAAGCAGTAAACATGGGGTTTATTTCTACTAACTCATTACATGTGCTTTGCTTTGCTCTGTCAAAATCTTAACCAGCGGTTTTGCTTACGGTATAGGCAGCCTTTTCAAAATTCCTCATATTCTGAACCCTTTGGAGGTCCTCCAGTTCTTTCTCTGTTCGTTCTTTCAGAGGGTAGTTCTGCACTACCACTTTAGAGTTAAAGGCCTGTGGGAGACAGCCATTAGGGATTCAGAGCAGACAAACAAAATCGGAAAACATAACCCTTTATTCGAGCCAGCGTCTAAATCTCGTTACCTTGATGGCTCTGCCTTTGACCATAATAGAATCCCAGCAATCTCTCTTCAGGACATAGTGGAGGTAGCATTTCTCCACAATGTTGTGTTGAATTTCAGCTCTCACCTGCTCAGTGAAAGAACAAAAAGGATTGCTTCAGGGCACAATCCAAGACTGATTGCACTCATGTCTGCATGCGTCTGCAGTACCCTCGCGACTTCCTGCTCCACCATGGCCTCAAATCTCCTCTGCTCCTCCACGTCCAAGTTGAAGTCTTCCTCTGGAAGGCTCTCATTTTCACGGAGCATCTGCTGGACCTGAAAAAGAGTCGTGGGGGGGGGGGGATTTCGGCTTCTCCCTGCATTACTGTATTACTGGTCAATGATTGTTTAAAAGAACGAGGTAAAATCAACTTAAGACAGAGTTGGTTTAAGACAGAGTGCTGCTACGTTTTCTGAATGTCTGTATTTGTTATTTTTTCCAGCTCAAGATTAAAACCAGTGTCATGAAACTCACTTACAGCATCACGTAACTCTCTGATGGCTCCTTTCATGTTTTTCTTTGTTTCAGAGTATTGCTGGCTGTCTTCTTTTACAACCTGTAGCAATATACAGATGTTAAGTCTTGTTTTAAGTAACAACGCATCTTGCCAAACTTCAACGGTAAGCGATAATTGGCAAATAAACAGTACTTAATCATCTTTAAATTTGAAATGACAAGATTCTTTATAGCAGAAATAATTATCACTTTACCAACATGCTTTTTTAACATCTGATACAAGGTCTGCAACACGCCTGACTAGATTTTTATCAGATCGTTTTGACATGGAAGAACATTCTGACTCATTTATGGCAACACACTAATTGCTCATTGTTTGCTTTTTTCGTTGTCTAATATATAAATAAAGCTGCAGCAAGAAGCAATCTCATGAAAAAACCCAAACTTCTGAACTAGATTTCACGATCTTCCTTCCGCAGCATCATATATGTTTACATTTATCTATATCGTTCCTAAACATAATAAACATCTGCACACAGATAACAGCGCCACAAAGGTTGAAGCTGGTCACTGACCGCTTCTTGCCTCCATTCCAGCCATGTTGATTGTGACACTGGACAGAGCAGGCTGCTGTAATTCTCATCCTGCTCCGTCACATCCACACATGGACCCCCACTGACCTATACAGTTAAAAAAAATTCAACCATACCGTTATTCTGGTCAAACTTTCTTCCGTTCTCTATTTTATTTCAGTGTAACTAGTAGTTTTGAAAGCACTTTTTTGCTTTTTTACCTCACTGTCATCAGCTTTTTCACCTGGTGAACCTTGACCCCACCCAGGCAAATCAATGAGGAGGGGGTTTTCAGTGTTGAACGTTTTCTTCACGGACTGAGTCATTGTTCGACTATACTCGGCAGCTTCTTTCATCTTTCCAGAATCCACTCCTTTAATTCTTTGCAGAAAAAAGGGGGAAAGGGTACAATAATGTTTTTGCAAGCAGTCAACAATTTTCTATCATTTGCTGTCTACTTTGCACATCAGTAGCACTCCATGTTAATTTGTTTAAGCAAAAATTTGCTTGTAGAGACAAATAGATGTCAATGGTCAGTGTGACTAAATAGTATGGCACAGTGGAGCCACTCTTTACAGTTATGATTGTTCTGCTCTTACTAAAAATAAACATAGTTTAGATTAAATCTAATGTTTGAAGAGTGTGCCTTAACACTTTTCGTTTAAAAAAACTTGTCTTGGCTTGCCTTACTTTTCAGGGGATTTATCTGGTAAGACTAATGTGTTACATAAGCAAACACATCCTTTCAATTTGCACAATATGTTAAGTTTTGGAAACAAAACAAACAATTTTTTGTTTGAAATTGAAAAAAGCTGCGATGCCATATGTTGACTAGGTTTTAAAATCTAAAAGAGTGTGAGAACAGGCATGGAAGAGGCAGATGTGGAATGTGTGTGGGATGTTATTCAGCGGGGCGATGTGAATTTTATTTGATCTTTGTTTTCTTGCACATTATGGTTCCGGCTCCCCTAGAACCTCATATTGCCACCAAATGAACTCAGTCGTATTTGCTTACTTTTGTTCCCCACTGTTAAGGGGTAATAGAGAGGTAATAGAGCAAAGCGCAGCGGTTGCTCTTCACTACAACTGCAGGTGGGAGGCTGCTGTGAGCAACAGTTCCCTCTGCTGTTGGCATCTTTATATTATAAAAGCATGCTGGAGGGCTTTACCTAAGCTCGCTGCACACCAGAGAGACGTCTCTGCAGCCAGTAGTAAGAAGCCTGTGATCATCTGCAGAGAAGGACAAACTCCGAACTCCACCCCGACGGCACGAGTGACACTGCAGCTCAGTGTACTGCTCCTGCATAGGCAGCACCAGCATCATGAGACACAGAATGATTTTCTTTCTTTCTCTTTTGTGGATGATAAGGATGGGGTCGGTGGGTTTAGGGGCATGGTGATGGCGACAATTTGATTAGTAATACTGTTTTGAAAAGAAAAGAAACAGGATCAACTTTTACCATAGAAGCAGTTTTTCTAATGCGCAGTAAGCCGTCTTGGCCTATGGAGGCCAACCACAAGCGGTTAGGAGACAGAAGAAGAGAGACAGGGCCCAGAGGGTGACCTTTCACTTCCTGCTCTGGTGTTAACTGGAGTAACTGTTGACTGGAGTCACTGTCTGTATCCTGAGAAAAAAAAAAAACCCAGAGGAAAAGGTGTCTAATCTCTAAAAGACTTGATCATGACTAAATTCAAAAAGGCAGAAAATGAAAACCTCAGGCAGATGAAATCGCTGAAGAGTGTTTTTCCTGTGGCAGTACGCAAACATGTCACTGCCTCCAAGAACACAGGAGTTGAGTGGAAGAGGCACTTTGTATTGTAACTTTTTGAAGACGTGAGCAGACAGACAGCCATGACGGTCTGCAGAATCTGGACCTGCAGGACGGCAGAGGCGGGTTGAAAAATCTGATGGGAAGCAGATGAGCTCCTTCTCTAAAAGCTGGTCTTAGCATGTTTGTTTGAAGAGTAAATGTTCTGAATCGTGTTATTCTATAAACATTAAAGCACACATAAATAATAGTTACGTTCATTACCACTAATGACGTTAAGTACAATTGTCAGATCTGTGCTACATGCTATACAAATAGCCTTAAAACACAACTTTCTGTTGCACAACTTCTGTGTTGTGTAATTTACAACTGTGGTCACACCCTCATCTCGTGTGTTTCAACAGATTTATCTGTGTCAGTTTTCTAAGGCTGCTGTTTAAACAAGGGGTGTGGTTTTCCAACGTGCTAAGTCATGGTTCTCTTTCAATTTTGTGGACTTCTGTGAGAACATGGAAAAAAAACAATCTCTAAAATACGATTTTAAAAGTTTTTTTTAGCATGAATCTTAATGTGTTTGATTTTTGTCACACTTTGGGAAACAAGCATTTATATCCTGAAATGCAATAAGCAGAAGGAAAGGATATTCCCAGGAAAAGCCGCTGTAAAATAACATGGCAGGTTTGTTTAAATCATGCAAAGGGTAAGTAGAGGAAGCTTAAAGACATAAACACCAAAGAAAACATACTGAACTGATTTAACTAAAATTTGATTAGTCATTCCCTCAGATGATGACAAAGCATCTCTCAAAGGCCATGAAAAAACTAACCTTTAAATAAGCGCTTAGTCATAGCTCTATTTTAAAAGCTCTGTCTAAATCTGCAATGTCATGCCTTAGGATTCTCTGACTGATGAGATCTACATCTTGCCCATATTTACAATTAGCCGCCTCTGACAGAAAAGCTAGGTTATTACTTCAACCAGATTTAAAAACAAAAAACAGAATTCTCAAAATTCTCTTTTAAGACATTTAGTATAACCAGATAATCCTTTGGCTTTATCTCTGCTGTACCTGTAAGGTTTTTGACAGGCAGAGAGAGCAGTGTCAGCTGGTTTCCATCCTTATTCTTGTTTTCATGTTCACCATGCAATAGAAGGACTTTCACCTCATTCTGGCCTCTGGGACACTGAGTTGAAATCGACAAAATGTGTCCTGGAACAACTGGAAAAGGAAATAAGACTCATAAGATTTAAGACTTCTATTCTATCATCTTTTATAAATGGATTAATAAATTCTGGCTTTTGTGTTGAGGTAAACGGTTATTTAGTTCCAAGACAAGCACAGTAATACATGAATATTTGAAAAAGGTATTCAAAAAGTTTCACCTGTGTATCCTATGACTGCAAACTTCATAGATGGCTTAGCGTTCAGTACATACACATGGGAATCTGAGCCACTGGTGAGAAGGAAGTGCCCCTCTTGATCAAAACTGTGAAAAGACACCTTCATTTACTTTTCTGACCATAGGTGGAATACAACTTTTCTCTGGGCTTCTTGTTCACAGATGTAGGATTAGATTTTACCACAAGTCATTGTAAAACTCTGCGGTGCTACATGGATGAGGAATACTTGCACTAAGTGATGCACCGCAGTGTGGTAGAGATGAACTTGGTGCACCATTCGAGGCTGCTCCTCCTTGTTCAGGTCAATAAAGTAGACACTTCCTGAGGCAGTTCCAACGGCTGCATAATGTGCAATAGGACAGCAGGCCAGGCTTGTCACCTAAGCAGAAAAATCCTCTTATTGCACTTATTCTCATGTATGGCAAAATGGCTCTCTGTGTTGACAATCTGACCTCAGTTTGAAGAGACAAGGACCCAAGACAGTTGCCATCTGATGACCACAGCTGTAATTTTCCTGAGTCTCTTATTGACTGCAACCAGTAAAAAAACAAATGTTTCAGTTCTGTGCGCTAAACTCTGCATGCAATAAAAAAAAAAAAACATTCTTGTGCAACACAAATGCTTTACCACGCAAATATTTCTGTCAGTGTTCAACAGAGCCGTCATCAAAAAGTTGCCGGATTGGACATCTAGGATCTTTTCAATCCTCCCTGACAGAGTTGGGTTGAGTAAATAGATTTGTCCCTAAAGAAAAAGATGTGTCTTAGATCTAGTTTCTCTCCCTTGTAACATGTGTACTCTGCAACACATTTAAGTACTTACTGTGCTGGAAGATAGAAATAATGTCTCTTTGTCAGGGGACAGCATCACAGCTGTGACGGGCCTTTCTGTCTGCCAGGTTTGTGTGATGTTGAGCTGATTCCCTTTGATCTCCAAAGTGTGCACCACATTCTCCTGAAACACACTAGTATCTGAAAGTGCTTTTGACCGTGGATGCAGATGGTGTCCCGGCAGGTGGCCGAGCCTATACCTTTCCAGCTACGATGAGACCATCGCGATGAAGTGTCAAAGCTTGAAAGTTGCACTGTCTGAGTTCCGGGATGGCATCGTCAGCTGAACAAAAGTCAAACAAAATGGCAGCATCACCAAATGTCAAATTGAATCTGAAAGTTAATATATGGCAGAATAAGCCATCCCAGTGATTTTCATATATTTACTCATTTCTGGTGCTCTAGTTTACATGTAAGCTTACTTGTTGGGTTAAAAAGGGCAGAGACAGAGAGACTCTCTGGGTCAATGAGGAGCAGGAAGCCCTCTGCACAGCCCACATAGAGCTCTGATGTGGCTGTCCAACAGATGGCGGAGGGAGTCACTGTGGTTCTGGTGGAGACTGAGGTCTCCTTGTGTAGAGTTGAGGAACATTTATATTTGTTTTTAAATCATAGATTAAAAAAAATAAATCAACAAGACAAAGATATGGTTAAAGGGTATTATTTGTTTAAAAAATGACAGTAAGACAATACCACAACGCCAAGAGCCATGCTGCTTCTCAGCCCTAAAGAGTCCACTTCTGGTAAATCATATGGCAGCTTGGTGCTGAGATTGTGAAGAGTGGATGGACATCTTTCAACAGAGGAAGCATCAGTTGTCGGAAGCTGTATTGCTCTTCATGACAAACAAAGACATAGATAACACTTTATAAAACTTTATATAAAAACAAATACGCATAGGGGTCTACATACTATTTCAGTCACCTGTTCATTTAGTTGTTAAAGAAGGAAACAATATAGGTTAAACAGTTAAAACCCTCCACAGAAAACATGATGCCCATCTAATATTGTAGATTGTGTGTGCTTTTTACCTTGGTTTCAGAATATGAAAGCTGGCACTCTTGTCAATATGCCATAGAGTGAGAGTGTTTTGGCCTACAGCACAAAGCTGGAGCCAATTCAAAGGGTTGAACACCAGGGAAATGACATCCTTTCCAACATTTGGTTGTGAACAAATTGGCTCTGCATTTTCCCAGTTCCTGCATCACACAGCCGTAATTACAGTAGCTGAGCTCTATGAATAAATATCGTTTAAGGTACAAAAGTGTAAAACTATCAGTGGCTTACCACACTGTGATGGTGTAGTCAGGTAGAGAAGAGCAACAAACCAGATAAGGACCACTTCCACTTAATGCCAGAGAAGTGTAGTCTAGTTGTGCTGATCCTGCAAAACAAAAGGATAAGTGGTGACAACTTGGGATGTGTGGGAGAGAATCAGAATTTGGCTACAGCTTCTTACCTTTCAATACATTCTTTGGCACAAGCTCTGGGAAGCTGTACACAAAAATAGATGGGGATAGTTTTTGCTCAGAGAAGGCAAAAATCCCACTGTTGCCATTAGCTGTCAGTATTCCAAGGTCTCGGACAGGACTCCGAAAAACACTTTGCATTTTAGTGTCAAGGTTCAGGAAACATATATGGTTCCCTAAAATGTAGCATACTGTTGTATTATCCACAAAGTCAATTTTCTTGTTTGTAAAACCCTGAATCCATCTACGGGGAAATAAGAATAAAACAAATTGAACATACGAGTGTATAAGGTTGTAATTCAGTGAAAAGAAAAAGTTGTTACAGTCATACCTGATTTCTAAACCTTCCATGTCATCTATTTTAAGGTGATGATCAGCTCGATATTATTAGATGTAGGTATTTTTCAAGAACAAAACTGAAAAACGGACAGGCGAGTTATTTCGTGTCCATAGCAACCAGAAAAAAACCATGTTACCGTCCTCTTACCCTATTGGCTGCTACATTTTGTGACACACCCACTACGGAAGTAGCTTTTAGAATAAATCGCACAGTAGTTGTCTCTGTCCTTTGTAACGTTTTAGGCTATTTCACCTCCTTTAGTACCATACGAGGTCCTCCTTGAAGCGCAAGCATGTCAACTGAAAAGAGTTTCGCTAAAGGTAACAGTCGCCTTAATGAAAAACTGTCTAGTTGGCGTCTTTTTTAATGCTATTTCTTTTTGCAGGCGAGCTTAACTATTCCATCATCTTCCTTTTCACAACCTCCACTAATTCAAAAATGAAAATAAGATAAGATAAATAATACGTTGTATAATTATTGCACTAATCCGTTTCTTCCGGTCGAGCTAGGTAATACGTAACGGTGATTGTGGTTTTGCTTCACATAATGAAAAGTATCTCAGACATATAGACATACTTAAGTAGAGTACTTAAACGTAGCAGTTAGGCACCGCTTTCTGTTGCAGCGCAGGATTCTCTCATGAAATAGGAAATGTATCAAATAACTTTGATTTTATCATGAGTCACTCGTTTAGTTAAAACATGTCTAGTCACCAGCGGAATTGTAAAAACCATTGTAATTTAACTGGTTGTGAAAGGGTTGAAAGGGCAAATGGTTTTAAGTCGGGCAGTCAAGTAAAACTGGAATGTTTCAGAAAGCCAACTAACAGATCTTGATCATGTAGAATTTACGTCATATTCAAACAGATTGTGAGTTTTTAGAACTGTTGGTGTTGTAGTAGATTTAGTAGTGATTTTATTTTGGCATTGTACTTTATTTTCTAACTTGGCATCAAATGCACTAAATGATCTGTTTTGTATGTTTTTGACTTTTTTTTTCTTATGTGTAATATAAACACATTTCAGGCATCTGTTGACAATTTTTTTAAAATGTATTTATCTTTTCAGGAAGTGCTGCACCGGGCCCAGTCCCAAAAGATCAAATCAGGATTTACAGCATGAGATTTTGCCCTTTTGCCCAGAGGACCAGATTAGTGCTGCACGCCAAAGGGATCAAGTAAAAATGCTTTTGATTATTATTGATGATACCAAAACATGACACACCAGAAATCTTGAAAAAGCTCAACCAAGTTTTGCATTTCAGGCATGACACTGTCAACATCAACCTGAAAGACAAACCGGATTGGTTTCTTGAGAAAAACCCTCTTGGGCTTGTCCCAACTCTGGAGACACCTGCTGGTGAAATTATATACGAGTCTCCCATCACCTGTGACTACCTGGAGGAAGTGTACCCTGAAAAAAAGCTGCTGCCCTCCTCTCCTTTTGCCAAAGCTCAACAAAAGATGATGTTGGAGCACTTTTCCAAGGTATGTTTATGTGACATGAGAATTTATGTGTACATCTTGTCATTTTGTTTTGCGCACATTGTTAGTGTTTTCTCATGAATGTCACTCTTTTTTGCAGGTAACTCCATACTACTACAAAATCACAGCAGGAAGGAGGAATGGTGATGATGTTTCAGGTCTGGAAGCTGAGCTGAAAGAGAAGTTTGCCAAATTAAATGAGGTAGGTTGTAAAGATTTGTGCATAATTGCTTTCTTTTGACATAAACTACACACACAGGGTGATGTCTTGCAAAGCTGGAATTGTATCCAGTAATTTTTTAGCCAAAACATGCATGGAAATAACTATTAAATACTGAGTGTTTGTATATGTGTGTGCAGACCTAAGATTTCTGCTTAACTTTTATCAGGACTTGTTGAAAAAGAAGACCAAGTTTTTTGGTGGCGATTCCGTCACAATGATCGACTACATGATGTGGCCGTTCTTTGAGAGGATGGAGATCTTGGAGATGAAAAAGTGAGTGACATTCTAAATGTACTTGGGGGGGGGAAAAAACATGTTTTATTTTTGTAGGTGGAAAAGTACACTTAGGGCATTTGTGGAAAAAGAAACAGACATGAAAAAGTTAGTAACAAGTGAGGAGCAGGGGATACCACAGGAATAGTTTTCCTCTGCTGCCATGTAAGAACTTCATATAACTCAAATAGTTTTCAAACCTCTATCGATGAACTTTTACTTTACATTTAAATTACCGCCAATTAAAAAAGGTCCAGAATTCTCCTTAGTTCCAGATCTGACATGTACCATTTTGGGAATTTTTACTTCTTACGCATCACTTCATGTTCTGAGCTCAAGTTTGAACACTGTCACATAACGTGTGTTCAAGGTATCTGCTCAGGTTTTCTTTAACATTCATTTGAAGGGACGTCTAGGAAGGAACACTTAGGCTTCAGCTTTTCTTTGGGACTTAGCCTGACTGTAAGCAAGTTCCATTAAAAATCAATTTACATGTACACAATCCTGGCTACATGGATATCTGAATATCTAGTTTTAAATTGGAAAAGTTCAAAAGTATTTCTTATTAAATGCCCAAAAGGAATATGCCATCTCTATGATCTATACTTTTGTAGAGATATTGTCTTAATAGTGAAATATTAGTTCTACGTGCCACTTTGTTCAACCTTTTTGGTTGAATAAAAGGTCTTTAGCCACTTCTTTTTCCTCTTCCATATATACGCAGGAGTATAACAGAAGAGATCATTCTTTCCGTCCACAGGACTTGTTTTCATCATTTCTAAATGATTCTGACTTTTCAAGAGGTTGCTTTACATTTCAAATTTAGACAGTTTCCCCTTAGTCCTGTCTCAGCTTTCAGTTTTTCTGAAGCTCTCCACATAAAGGTTTTAGTTTAACACAAGGTTATTCCTTCTGTGCCCTTCTTCTAATTCACCAACCTAAAGATCTGCACGCTCCCACCAGTAAACTTCAGATGTTAATTACTGTTTATTGTAAATTAATCTCTAAAATGTACTCAACTGTTGATTTCCTTTAAGTCACATTTAAATCTAGATGTTTGTTTTTATGAAGGTGAACATCAATTAATTTGAAATGGTACAAAATGGAAACTAGTTCATTTTTTTTTTCCTTTTTGAGAAATCAGCTCAGCTATATTGTTTAAATATATCAGAGAATTTGTTAGTGGAAAGGTAAAAATGTGGCATACCCCACAACTACTGTTTTTCTCTTAAGAAAGGCCACAGTGCAACATTTTAGGAAAGCCTTTTTTCTGTTAGCAGCAGGAGTTGTATTTATTTAAATTCACTTAAGAAAAATGTCAGATATTTCTTCATTTTTAACCCTAACCCTTCGTAAAACTGCGTGTTAGTGTTCTCCTGTAAATCAGTCTCTGTCCTTTGTCATGTCAGCCCCCTGGAAGATGCCCCTGAGCTAAAGAAGTGGGTGGAGCGCATGTTGGAGGACCCGGCTGTTAAAGCTACAATGCACAGTGGGGACACCTACAGAGCCTTCTACAAGACTATCGCTGATGGGAAACCAGACTATGACTATGGCTTGTAGAAAAAGAAAAAAGACCACACGCCCTGAGCCGTCCATTTATAGTAATGTTAAATCAGGTGTCTCTTCAAAAATGATTTCTCAAATCTTATCTGGGTATTAAACGTCTGAACAAAATAAAATTATTCTTGAATTTTGTGCATTTAATTATCTGTTACAATGACATCTGATATAAAAATTGCATAACTGAGGAGTGAAAACAAACCTGAATTTAAGTTTGTATTTATATAAAAGAAAAAAGAATCACAACAAAAAAAAGAAATGATAGAATGAGGTGGAACAATTTAAATGAGCCAAGTTCCTCCACATATTTTACAATAACAGGAAATATTACAAGAGGGAATAAATAAAAGATATATTAAAAGAATAAGACATTGACCAGTAAAACCATGAATAGCTGCCATTACATTAGCAACAGTTCTCATCAACAAACTTCTGCTGCATAGTCCCTGTTTGGACCAGTTTAGTCTCAGAGGTATCATTTGGAAATGTAAGTAAAAGCATCATCCCTCATGGGCAGAGGGTTTGAACCCAATTCTCAAATCGTTTAACTTGTTATGGCAGAAAAAAGCAGCTACGGCGAAGTACTCCGTGTTTAGAGGTCACCCTCAGCTCAAATAACGGCTGCTTCACTTTTTCTACTTCCACCGATAAAAGATAAGTTTCCTCACAAACTTTCTTCCAATCGTCGGCGTAAACCCGCATTTGACAAATAAGGTGTGTACTCTTGTATGAGCACTGAAGCATTTCTCAACATCTCCTGAAAGTGTCTGACTGTTGCTGCGTAAAGCTCCCTCTGCAACACCAACGCCCTGAACAGATTGACGGGCTCCGCCTTGCGAATCGTCTCCGGAACCTCGACTCCCTCTGGCACCTTACTGTTCCCGATCAGAGCATGGTGCAGTCTCTTCTCCTGAAGGCTCCTCTGCAGGAGGCAGAGCACATCCTGAAGCCTGGCCTCCAAACTCTCAGCTCCCCACGCGCTGGTCTTCTTGCCCAGCAGCAGGTGCAGCACAACGGTCTTCAGGTGGTAGCTGGTGAGGGCAGTCTTCCCCGTCAGCGCCGACTGCTTTCTGTGTAAGAACGTAACAATCTGGAGGCAGTGGATATGACAGGCATTTTGTGGTAGGCATTTGGAAAAATGTTTCAGCAGATTCCTCTCGTAGACGGCTAAAGAAAGATGCCAGTACGGGTCTGGGCAGCTGTCGCAATCCGATGGGAAGTGCGAGACAAAATAAGCGTCGGTGTCCTCCAGCTGAACCACCGGGATGATGTTCAACACGATGACTTTCCCTGTTCGGAAGCGGATCTGCAGAGCCCCAGCAGCGTCAAGGTTACGAAAAGTGACCTCAAAGTCATATTTGTGAGAGATGCACGCCCATGCTTTGGTTACAGAGATCTGAAACCACCTCATAACTTGGTCTTTGGCCAAGAAGTCTGTTTTCTTGGAGCAGAGCAGTTCTTCAGGAGTGCGGCTAACTTTGGCTGCGTCATTCCTGCTGTGCAGCAGGCAAAGCATGTCCTCTCCCAGGTTAGCAGAGCCGCACAGGCACCCCTCCCCATTCTCCCCGAACCTGGTCACTTTTATCTTGCCACAGCCCTGCATGTCGGGAGGCACGTTACTATAGGGGCTGCACCACAGATGGTACTGGAAAGAATGGGGCTCTGGGGGCGAGAAAGGCACTATGAGGTCACACATGAGAGGCTTGCACACTGTCCAATACTCAAACATGCTTCCGATCCCAACAAAGTCACCAACTTCCATATCCACCGTCCGGTCACACATGCTCCGGAGTGACTCCAGCAAGTCATCGGCAAAACCCTCGACAAACTCCCTCACTCTCCAGTTTTCATGGGCACAGGTGTAGGTGCACTTATCACAGAAGTTTCTCAGGATCTCCTTGTTTAGTCCCATCCCTCTGGGTGTGAGAAATCCACTGTCTGAGAGGACATCCTCATCCTCAACTGGGCGGATTTCATAGTCGGTGAGATCAACCCTGCACATCTCAATGGCGAGGAATACCAAAAAGGACACAAGGCTCCAAAAGCTACAAACGTCATCAGAGCTGGTTTCCTCCAGCTGTGAGAGCTCTTCCTCCAGCTTGGTCCGCTCCACTGCCAGTCTCTCCTCATGCTCCCGCATGCGAGCCAGCAGCGCCTCATCCTGCTCCAGGAGTGTGCTGTTTTCTTGAGGAAAGATCAAGGGGTGGTTTAATATGGCAGCCGCCACCACCATGCACACTCGTCCAATTGCCCCCTGCATCATCAGCTGGCAGCCTTAAAAACGCCCAAACAGTCGTAGTACAGGTCCTGAAACGAAAACATTAGCTTTTTACGTGAGGCAATACAAAAGTAAAGTTGAATTATTTTTTAAAAAGTGCTCCACCCACTGCTAGAAGCACACATTGTACCTCTAAATATAGAGGCAGTGTGCTGAGTGACGCACATTAGCACTATCACAAGTTGCAGCACAAGAGGAAGGAAGATTGCGCCCTGTAGTAAACTGCCCGTCTCACAACCTTTTCAGTTACCACACATTGTGCCTTCTAACATTTACATCCTGCTGATATTTTATCAAGCTGTATCTTTTTCTGGAAGGGAAGGTTTCCACTCTATGAACTTCAGTTTCTTATAAAACAATGCTAAAAACATTTATTCATTTATCTTCTTCCTTTTTAGACGTCATCAGATAAGTAAGAAAAAATGCAATATACTGTACAAAAAGGAAATTACATAAGTCTCCTGCTCGTGTTTCACAGTTGGAGTGAATGTCCACCCTGAGTTGATCTCACAGGCTATGCTGGCAAAAATAAATAAATAAAAAACAAACTAACAAAATGAGTGCTTAGATCGAAGAGCCAAGGCCCAACTGGAATGGTCCCCAAGGCATGGGCAAAACCCATCAAACTATCATCACAACAGTGTTTGGAAAAATAATAATAATAATATGCAAGCGAGGGACTTCCCTTGGCACGCACTAAAAAGGAAGTATGCCTGCATTTCATGAGAGTGAGGATCTGCATCTATTAGAGGCTTGAAAATGGCCGGTTTAATGGAAAACCTTTAGACCACAAAAAATATGGAGAAACCTGCCATGACTTAAACTCTGGGAAGCTTTCCAACATTAACATGGATGCAGCCATCCAAACTAACACTGAATTAGACAAAAAGCTAGATTTTGTATTTGAGATGTGATGCCACAGAAGGATACAACCAAAGCTACTCTTTATTAGCAAACAGAGTGCAAATGACAGGGTGCTTTTTACTGTAAAAAGGAACAGCCAGAATGGTTCAAACTCAGAGCACACGTTCTCTAGTGGCTAAAAACAGAAATGTTGTGTTTGTTTGCTTTTTTAACACACAAGGTCTGAACTTAAAGAGTTCTGACTTATTGTTTGAAATATACTACAATTGGTTAGTTTTAGCATAATCTACATGGTATTGCTTGAATTGCTGTTTCAACATTTTACATCAGACCTCATCTAAAATAAATGCGTAAATATGTTGAGACATAGTTGTGTTGTGTATAACCTGCCCCAGACTTTTTTTTTTATTCCTTTGGTCTTGTTGGGCCATACAACACCTATTCATAGCACGTTCTGGGCTTTGTGGTTGTAAGCAATACTTCAGGAGGCTAAAATGTATGAAATTGCACGTGGATTTGCGAAATTAGCTAAAAGAGACGCAGCTGTGGTTGTGACGTCAGCATGGCCAGTTGTCGTAGCAACAAAATATAAAGCTGCTCCGTTACAACGGAAATGTGGCGCGAGACACAGAATACTTTCTCTGGAGACATTAGTCACCTAACAATTGACAGCCATATAAAAGCTCATAGAAAGTCAAGTGTATTGTTGTTTCCAGTGTGGCAATTCAAAACAACCAAAAAGCCCCCGGAGACACTTCTTACATAACTGTTTGGTTCATACATGTTTAAGCTGAGAGTTGTGAACAGAAAGGTAATGAACTTACCTGCGCGCTGTGAAAGTTCATGACGGTGGAACGAGTTCGTGGGACGGGCCATCCGGTAAAGGCATCTGAACAAGTCGAGGAAAGATTTTCACACACTGCGAAAGGCGCCTCCACACTTCGTTTCCTGACAGTAAGTTCCACCCATGTTCAGAAAAGACCGCCCAAAAAGCCTCCTAGCGCACCAAAAATAGGGATTTTTTTGTGCTGTGAGGAGGCAGTTTGTTGATTTCAAATATCATTATTAACGTGCAATTCCAAACTATTATACTTCTCTCCACAATTCATTTGGGTTTTTTTGTGTCATTAAAACGTTAGCAAAATACAGTTTTGATGCATTATGGCTCGATCTTCTACTGTACATTAAATGCAGGGGCCATCTTAGAGGGACAGGCTATTGCCCTCAAGTATATTAAAGATTTATTGGATGGGTGATCTCTGGGATCGGACTTGTGCTCTCTAAGTGTAATCATTCAAAGTGATGTTCTTTTATTTCCACTCCAAAATCTCAGGATGAAATTCTTTATATGCAATCTACACCAAAGTGGTTCAAATTTTTTTGTCTCCAAAAATGCTTGATCAATTTTACTTTTAACTTATTTGTATCTTATCTAATATTTAATTTAAACAGGATCACATTTTTTTTTATTATTAAAATGCATGTTGACTGTTTTCTATCTTACTAACCTAAAATATCATTTTGTTGCCCAATGCTTTGTATAATAAAACATAACTGAATATTCTCTCCTCATAATCACTAAATCCTTCAGCTATACAGTAGGTATTTGAAAAGTTTTTAAAGCTTTAACAGGCTCTTTTCCACAATATGGTTACAGTCAAGCCACCACCCATACAGAGAATGCTTTGAAATGTGTAAATTATAAGCAAATTCTAACTTTATTTAGGTTTACTGCAAAGCACACAAGAACTCAAAGTACATTCCCTAGTTCATGAATGAGACACTCTTTTCAGTTTGTAGCATGATGATGACAAAACGGACACAAAAGATTCATGGCAAAAACATCAAGGTTATTCAAGTAAAAGGATAGAAAAACACATAAAAGACCCATAAAAATGGTTACAATCTCACCATGTAAACATCAACTTGTAAATCATACATATTTCATGAGAATAAAACATTGCAAATATTGCATATGTTGATGAATTGGTGAAACAGACACATTTATGCGGGACTACCATTTCTGCCTGATATTACTTCTAAAACCTTCTCAGCAGTGGCCCTTTTGTCACTTTCTTCAAGCATCTGGATCAACTTCCGAGAGGCACCCCTGCCCTGCTTCTCCACCCACTTTTTCAGCAGTTCCAGAGTCTGCTCTTCACTGTTATTTGGCCAATTCAGTTGGCAACTCTCAATAACTGGGCCTGGTATCTCACTACGCATAGCTATGTCCCTTGTAACTTTCCATCCAAGTTTGACTGCAATCTCGGGCAGGTAAGGTTCAAGATCCATGTCTGGAACTGATATCGATAAAAGGAAAAATGAGAATTAGTTGAAAAAGCCAAACACAACACAACCTTATTGTTATTCCAAAGGTATTTGAAGTAAGTCACAAAAAAGAGTGATTTCTTACCGGTAAGAGGTTGCATCTCCTGTGAAGTAGAAGAATGATAAATGTTCATTTCTGAGCCCATAACATATAAAATAGTAGAATGTTTGCAAAAAATCAACAACACCGACAGAGGCACAGCACATAATCACAGAGTTCCGAGACAACTAACCTGTCCCTCCTACATAAGGGCCAGCTTCAACAAGTTAGAGGAAAGACAGAAAGGTGTGTAAACTTGTGCTCTGTTGTGCGTAAGCATCAGACTGTGTGTCAACGAACGAAAATGTTGTCAAACAAAAGGGAAACAGGTCGGAGATATCTTACCACATCAGACCCCGTGTTGCTCACAACCCTCCCATTGGGCTTTGCATCTCCTTATCGCAAATAGAAATTAAACAAAGGAAACATGATTTGTGATCAAACACAGGACTGAGAATAAACTGTCAAGGTGGCTTTAGTAAAAACTAAATCCGGGCTCACATATTTAGTCATGCAGAGGGAGAAATACTCACTCTGTCTTTTCTTTCTAACACAATATACAGCAGCAACGGAGAGCGCCACAACAAAGAGAACTCCCACAATGATGCCTGCGATCTTGCCGGCTTCTGAATGTTCTAAAAAGAAAGAAGAGCATGACATCGTTTACAACATGGCCGTTAAAAAACGGGAGCAACGACAGGTGTGTTGTGATGAATTCAGCTGAAGGACGCGGTACCTTGGCTTTCCTGGTTGCAGACTGTGTTGTTGGTGGCGGTGCAGGCCTGTTTAACGCCTTCAGAACCACACCTTGAAGCAAAAGAAACACAAGCGTGAGTGACAGGCCGAGGTAGAGCACATAGGCACACGTCGCGAGACCATGGAAGTTGAGCGTATTTCAGCACTTACGTTGTACACCGGTGGCAGACTAGACAGACTGCTGAGTCACTCACGCAGTAGTGACCTTCCTTACATCGACACAGGGTGTTCCTGGCTCGGGTGCAGGGCTCGGCAACTTCTAAATTGGCTGAAAGGAGAGTACGTTCACATAAACACGAGGAGGGGCAAGCGCCGTTCAAACAAACCCATTTCTTTCAAATACACTGATTTGAAATAGATTTTTATTTCCACGCTGGAAACATGCACAATCAGGTTTGACTGGGGTTAAGCACAGAGTGACCTATTTTATTGCTCTGTTTGGCGTCATGGCGCACTTTGGATTTTTTGTATCCGTACATACCGTTGGGGTGTGAGCAGGAGGCGCAGGGCTGACAGGTTTCCTGGTTGTTAGGATGAGCGTTGAAGGTGTCTGCCTCACAGGGCTTACACTTCCTGTCACCCGGAGTGGCAGTGCAGTGCTCCTCCAGCCGCTCACCTGCAGCCCACACACACAGAAGAGAAACCAGGTGCACTTTCTGACAGAGAAAGCTCCTAAACCCTCCAAAGCCTTACGCATATATCTTCACTGCTAACACATAACTAACACTGGCAGAATGTATGTTTTTACATCCTTCAAACGGCCGACTGAAATAAAAACCTGGATCCCGAGTGGAGAGAACAAAACGTCTCATCACGCCCTAATCAACTGGTCTTCACCCCATCACTGGGTTCTTCACTGGGTTCACATGGAGCCCTGGACACTCACCGGCTGCGCACATACAGCAGCTCCTGCCCTCGTGCTCGTAGGTGCCATCCACGCACGCCTGTCTCCGTGGACGCGCTGGCCACGCGCGCGCGCTCCGCTCAGGGGGGGACAACGATCTGGTGTGTGAAACCGAAAGTGAAAGGAAGTTACTCGACACAAGCCAGCCTGCATAGACATTAAAAACATTTAGAGATTAAAGTCCTCTGACGATCGAGTTGGTGGTTTAACGAACTATTTAATTTGCTGTGGATTTTGAACTTTTCACCTGGTTGATTCGCTTATAGGTGCTAAACCCACCTGAGGTGAGATCGAAAGCAGATCGAGAGCCCCTGCTTTTGACGAGGCGTGTCTGTTTGTTATTTGTGTTTTCTTATATAATTCTGATTCAGCACACTGACGAGCTCTGTGTTGGCTGTACAGCTGTTCGTGATTTCACCATTTGTCCTTAGACTGTCTTTAATTGAACCAAAGATTGACTTTGGGAAAGATCTGTCGTCCTACATGTACTTTGCACCCGCAAAACCACCGGGATCGCCTCACAGCAACCCGGTACGAGAAAGGTAGCCGTTCCCAAAAGCCAACATACTCTCTAGTACAACTTATTCTTACTTACAATGAGACGCTGGTTGACAGTACCAGGACCACAAACCACACCGGCCACCCGCTGCAGCTGGCCGCCATCTTCAGACTCTGTTCAGGGCTGCTCGCCCTCACCGCCCTGCTGCGAGGATTTCCTGTTTGACTTCGGTGTGTTTGGTTCTTCCCTCACTTTGCCTTTAGTCCCTCCCGTAGCATCGATGAAGCATTCTCTGCTGTTGACATCACAATCCGCAGAAAACAACTCATCTCTACGCTTTGTGTTTCTTTTCAGGAGAGAGAAGACATAACTCTTCTTACAAACGAATTAGTGAACAATTAACACATTTGTTTAGAAAGAATTCAAAACTCCTTTTTTCTTTTTCTTTTCTTTCTCTTTTTAATTTTTGGAAAGCCCCACAAAACTTCCCTCCCCCTGAACAGTCACCTAAAGAACTGGAACTTATCCATTCTGTTGGTTGTAAAATACCCATCACGTGACGTTGACAAAAAAAACAAAAAGTTTTTTTTTTAAAGTAACTATTATACTTAAAGTAAAATGTTTAATAAAACAGTTGGGGAATAAAATCACTGATAACTTGGGGGAAAATGGGATAACTGGAAATCAAATGACTTACTGAGCCTTCTGTGGGCCTGTAATAAGAAAACAAATGTAAAACCTGATTCTTGGTTCTCCAGAAAGCAAAAAGAAAATCCCCAAAGGAAATACTGAACCCCAGCTTTCATGAGACCAACTATTGAAGCCAAACACGGAATGCATGTCTGTTTAAACAAGGTAGTTCCTTTAATAAATTAATTATATAAGGATGAATTCATGAAACGAATCATGTCCTTCTGCCTCCAAATGTCTTCTTTTCTCCAGTTAGAAGAAAGGAAATGTGTACTCATTCTATTTTTAAATTTCACCTTGTCTTTATTAAATGTTGGAGGCACGTGCTAAACCTCCCCATTGTATTAGAACATATATTGATTTGTTTTGTCTTACGTAATCTCATGATTAATAATGAAATAACGTTTCTGTGGTCTGCAGATGCTGAACTCCAGGCACACCACTAGGTGGAGATATTGCTCCTTCTGGTTTGGCCTCTGGAGCAGTGACTACATGTAGTCAAATTACAGTTTAAATAATTCAGTACAAAAGACACCTTTCTAACTTTCACCAGCATATGCCGAAAGCCAGAAATACTTGAATAGGATTAGAAGAGTTCATTAAGAATAGATCAAATGTGTAATAACGGCAAGCCCCAATCTCAAAATGCATAAAAGAGGAGATTGTACCTCTTGTGAATCATGATCAAACAAGCTCACAGCATCCATACTATTTGGGCTACAAACATCAGAAAGAAGAGCTTAGAACATGCCACATGGGCATAACCAGTAATGGGTTGATAGTTCCTGTACAGGAAATTGGACAGACCAACTTGAGATGATACAGGTGACAAAAGCTTTGAAGAGCTGGACAAAGATTTTTTTTAAAGTTTAACTTTTCCAATAAAGTAATACATTTAGCTCAGTCTTTTGTTAAAAAGCTCTGTAAAACTGTACTGACGAAGCTATGAATATGCTGTAATATAATTTTTAGTGCATGGCATCCATTCTTAGTAGTGCAAGGTATAAAAATACCAGCAAAACTACCCAGAGCCCTAAAGTTTATAACCAACATGAATAAAACACAGACTGGTTGTTGCTCTCAGATTGAAAAATTTTAAAAAGCCACTAAATTATCATCAAATAAGAAGAGCCTCATTTCACTCTGTGATACATGGTGGTGGTTGTGTCATAATATGGGCCTAATTTATTAAATATTGGACAATGGCTAGCTGTTGGTGATTGCTAAATGAATTACAACAAAACTTGAAATCTAAAGAAGAAGGAGACAATGCATCAACCGTTTTGTATTGGACAAGTAAAGCTTCACTGGAAAGCTTGGAATTCATAGTAGGAAACCAACCTTTATGCTAAAGTAAAATAAGTTCCGTTAGGATCAGTAGGATCTAAATCCTCAAAGCTAACATGGAGGACAAGAGCAAGTGTCAAAATGATGTTGGTGTTATTTCTGCAAAATATAGTCGTGACTATGACAGTGCAAAAAAAAAAAATGTGACAAAGCACAATGTTTCTAATAATTGTCAATTATTATTGATCAAAGTTAAAATATCACTCCACTTCATGTAGGAATTCTTTCTAGTCAAAACCAAAAATGCAATGGAACCTATACCTCACACATCATAGTATCTTTTTAAAAAAGATCTCGCCATGCGTACTTTATAACTTTGGTGTAGGAAATCTCAGAGTCTTCTTCAGCTGAAGTCTGAGCTCATCCTTTTGTTCCACAAATTCATGGATTTAGTTGCCATGTGCTCTGTTTTGTCAGGGTTAATACTAAATGCAAACGGCACACATGCATTGATCACAATTAGGCCACAGTGAAAGCATCCCTCTCTTCCAGCGTGCCGTTTTGCTACAAAAAGCAAATAGCTGTAAAAAACCACCACCGGAGAGCTGCAGCTCGTAGATTTCGGCTTTGTGGAGCACCATTATCAACCACGGCCAATGTGTTCCGCCTCCCCGTCGCCCCCAGGTCATATGCAGAGTAAGGCAGAGTAATAGCTCCACCGAGATGGAGGGAGGGGAGAAAATAAAATAGAAGAAGACAACGTTTTTGTTGTTAGAAGGAAGCTGCTGGAAGGGGCTATGTTGCAAGGCATCCCCAGAGACGCAGGGGAAGAGTGGGGAGATGATTCAGGGGAGGTGGCAGGTAACAGATCCTCTCTTTGACTAAAAGACAGAGAGGAGACTCTTGCAGTTGTCTCTGTGACGAAGTTCGTTACCGCTGTGTGGTTCATAGATTGAGCCGACTGCTGTTACAATGCCCTCAGTCTTTTTCTGGAAATTAGGTCACAAGAGTGTTAACTCCGAATAGCAAGTAAAGCAACAAGTTTTTCCTGAAACTGTATTGAGTGTACTTCGGCGTGATATTCTGTGCTGGCTGCAGCCTGTCCCATTGTGGGTTTGCTGATGTTGAACTTCATACCTATTGTGAAAGAGCGCTTCCTATTTAGTTTTCACTCACTTAAGGGGGAAACTCTTCTAATTAAACTGCGGGGATCTTTGAGGCCTGGGGATAGGTGTCATAATCTATAAATGTTGAAACTTACCTTTACTTGGCTCCCTCAGTTCAGACTTTCCACACTGCTGTAACTTTAGTCTATAAACTTGATCAATTTTAAAACCAAGAGTTAAGTGTTATGCACCTTTAATATTCTCTATGCTTCCGTGCTGAAATCAGGATATTCGTAGATAAGCTGTGAATAAATGGGAAAATTACCCCTCACTAAGTTCTTGTGTGCTTTGTGAAGTGTTGTCCAGTACAGACATAACTTGCACTGGGACGACAAACCTGAAGCTTCTTCTTACACAGAACAGGAAGAGAGTAATGCTGCTCTTCAACGACAGGAAATAACCTTGCTGCTGATGACGCAGGTCTCATGGGAAAGCTCAGCAAGTTCAATAGATTTGAAGCATACTGTACATTCTATAAGTGCACAGGGGGCAGGGCTTTGCGACGGGCTGCAAAGCTCCCACACGCTCGGCCGCTCATTTTCGTCTTGAGTTGTGTTGTGCCACACAATAAAAACGTGGAATCTGTTCTTGAAATTGTCAAACACAATTACAGTATCTCCCTGCCTTTCACTCCCTCTGCACAAGCTTACAAACATAGGCGCACACTGGATGAAAAGACGTAAATCTGTAAAGCTGCCACTTGATGATAAGTCTTTGCAAAGAGATTTCCCCCAGCAGCACGTCCAGCGGTCTGCCTAATTAGAGCCAAGAGTATCTGCGGGCAGAGAAGTCTGCACATGGAAGGGGGATTTAGCCGAGAACATTCATGCATTGAGATGTCTGGTGGGAAGACAATAGAGAAAAGTGTAGATTGGATGTCTTGTTTCCAGCGGAGAGATGGGAATAATGCTGGTTGAAAACCCCTTAGAGATGGATTTATTGGGACTGTTTGATTGGAAAAATCCGGTTAGGGGCTTAATCAAAACAGAACAGCAGCATGGAGAGACGGAGCTGACTGTGCAGGCGAGGCCGTGCATAACCTGCATGTCCTGTCCGTTACCTGCTCCCTTTGGCCCCAGGCGGAGCCACTTCACTCATTTATCCTTTGTCAAAATGCTCATTTAAAGAAGATTCTCCGATTCCTTGAGGGCGCTGAAATTCTTTTTCAGTTCTGTGACACCATGTTGGTGCTCTTCATACTCACTAAACTTCATGGTTTGAATGTAATGGGTTAGGATCGGTCAGGGTTTTTTAGCTGTAGAACATCTGTGAGTTGAAGTGGCATTAATCATAACTTCAAAATGGCAGCTCTCAAAAAGTATGATATACAGTTACCAAAGTGTTGGTGCTGATGGATTATTATATCAAACATTTTAGTGGTGTAACAATTATGCTTTGACAGCACATTCTGAGCATTTCCAAAATGTTGGATCTTGAGGTTTATGCTGTGGGGAGCAAATAAAAATGGTCTAAGAAACTATTACTGAGCCTGGGGTCCCTGGCACCCAGGAGCCATGAATGTACACGAGGAGCAAAGACACTCAGAAGAAGCCCCAATACCTGGTGTGATATAAAGGAGTTAGACTGTATCTACATTGAGCCCCCCTCACTGCCAAAAGAACCTAGAAAGGGTACTAAAACATCAAAAGTGATCTGTAAAAGGACACAATCTTTGTTATAGTGCCCATCAATTTATGGAGGTCACTTGAAAAGTCTTGTGCAAAATGTTTTGGCCACTCCCAATTTGTTTCTGTAAAATCCACAAACACAATAATGTTGGATCTGACTGAGAGCTGTTACCCACTTAGCTTTACACCCTTAAGTATCCCCTGCTTTTGCGTCTGTGTCATTTATCTTTACTTCTTTAACACTTTTACTCAACTTCAAAATCCTCGACGCGAAACCTTTCTTAGTCTCACCCACACAGAAAATGTGTAATGAACCGTTCACACATAGAGACGCACGAACACACACACGCACGCACACGCACACACACACTACCCGCAGTACATGAACTAAGCTATCACCTCTCACCCACCAGCCTGGAAAATATTAACCTTTTCATCTCATGTCACTTTTCCATTTAACTTCATGCACTTCGCTCGCATGCCTGCAGACACATGCCACTCTGCCTCTCTGCACATTCTAAACTGCTCTTAGTGCACAGAGATTCATGCTTGCAAGCATGCACGAGACACACAAACAGCTGCAGCTATCTCAGAGGAACTTCAGAGAATTCAGGGAGTGGAGAGTCATTTTGTTAAAGAGGACCAAACTGCAGGAAATGAGAATCATTGACCCTCCCTTGTGACCAAATTTACAATCTGCGGTTGAAATCAGTTGGAGGAGAA